GATTGCAAAGAAGGAAGAGGAAGCGGCCACGGGGAGCTCTTCCAACCCCCTGCAAGACACCCTACCCAGCCCCGCACCCCTGGGCGGAGGGGAAGTTGACTGGATGGGGAGAAGACTCAGCCTTGGGGATAGATGCAGCCCGCAGCTCTGACTCCCGATATCTCCCCCTCAAACCCCACCAGGGGTGCCCACAACAATAGCATGCCGGTGATCAGCTGTATAGGAATCTCTTTCACGTCCCGCGTGGAAAGAGTTCCAATTCAAGGTTCGGGTTCTGGAGAAGGGCCGCACACAAATGAAGAAATTTGAAGAAATTCAATTTGGTGATATGGGGGGCCAGGTGGTAGTCCAACTCTAGTGGGAGAAATACTCCTGCTCTGGCCCTGCCATCCTTTTATTGAGGCTTTGGGGGAAACATCTTAGGCAGGAAGTAACAGAAACTTACATGGGACAAACAAGGTGGAGGCTGCTTCAGCTAACAATGTCTCAACTAAAGGGTGAGTGGTTAGAGCAGTTAAGGTTGTTGACCAGCCTTCCTGGCTTCCTGTCAACATCTCTCTTTTAGTCAAACTGATTGGTTTCTGGCATACCTGTTAGCGGGCCCCCGGAGCCTGCGGCCGGTCTGTTGCTGCTGGGCCCCCTCTGCTAGGGCCAGGTATGCCTCCCCTCCCTACAACTCCAGACCTGGGTAGAGGCAGGCTGTCTTTGCAGTGTAATCATGGGGTGTGGCTAAACCCGCCCTCCTAGCCTGCATGGCTCTGCCCTGGCCTGGCCCCCAACTGGTCCAGGAAATTGGATCCTGGCCCTGGCCCTGAGCAGGTAAGGCTGTGAAACAGCTAGGTACAATTTAAAGAATGGCGCCAAGCGGGAAGGTTTGACAGTTACTCCCCCTTTGGCCATGCTGCCCTCTCTCCCCCAGTGCCCCCTTACCAGTGCCTCCAGGGACAATCTACAGGACTGCTGGCCAGAGCCTGCCCCTCCAAGGCCTGTGGAACCCTCTGCAAAGCTTCCACAGCTACAGTCCCAGGAAACAATCATGCCCTCCTCCCCTAACCAGCACCTGCTAGCTGCGAGGGTACCCATGAGCTCAAAATTAACAATCCCTTCCAGTTTAGACATCACTTACTTGATGAAACATTTCTAGGTATATTAGCTCAGAATCTCCTCATGACAACCCAGTGAGGTAGGCAGAGAAGAGATTACAATTTCTGTGGTATATGTGTATGTGTTCAGAAATGAAGCTCAGAGAGGAAAAGTGTCAAGCCCAGTGGTTCCCAAGGTGCACAACATGCCCCACAGGAGGGTCAATTTGATTTAAGTGGGGGCAATTCGAGAATGAGTTAACAGTGAATTTTTTTTTGCATTTCTTATGCTTCCAGGGGGGCCTCATCTACAGCATATCCTACATAATAAAAGGCTAACATGCAAATGAGCAAATGGTGGAATGACTGGTCACTATAATGTGTGCTGACCACCAGGGGGCAGACACTCAATGCAGGAGCTGCCCCCAAGTGGTCAGTGTGCTCTCACAGGGGGAGTGCCGCTCAGCCAGAAGCCGGGCTCACCTCTGGAGAGCACAGCAGCTGTGGTGGAACCCTCTCCCGCCTCCTTGGCAATGCTAAGGATGTCCGACTGATGGCTTAGGTCTACCTAAGCCATCAGTCGGACATCCCCCCAGGGCTTCTGGACTGTGAGAGGGCGCAGGCCAGGCTGAGGGACCCCCCTCCCATATGCACAGATTCCACACACCAGGCCTCTAGTGTTATCATAGATGCAAAAAGACAGACAGGCTCAACTAAGGTAAAGGCTGATCCTGTCAGTGAAGATACTGGCCTAGGAGGTGACTACCCACCATAACTGCTTTTAGTTAAAGTTTAATTTCAGACCATCCTTTGTGGTTACTTTAGGTCCTTGAGTTTGCAAGACTGCCATGCAGGCCTTCCCTGAGCTTGTCAGGCTAGCATGTGGTCCCTTTCATCCACAAAAGGAAAATTCTGGCTCCTATGTTGTACTTAATTATTATATCTCTGGAGTTTTTATTAATTTGGAAAAGTTCTTCAGAGTTTTTTGGTTTTTTTTTTGTCTTTCATGACATTTCAAAAATATTATTTTGTAAAGTGAATCTTGACTTGAGTTTATCTGGTTTCTTCATAATTAGGTTTAGGTTATGTAACTTTGGTGGAACAGCCCAGAAGAGATGCTGTGTCCATCTCAGTGTACCTTTTCTGGAGGCACACAATACCTCTCTGTCCCATTGTGGATGATGTTAACTTACATTACTTGGTTGATGTGCAACCTGCCAGGATTCTCTCTGTAAAGCTACTGTTTTCCCTTTGTAATTAATAAGCATGTGCCAACATTGAAAGATTGGTTGAGGAAGAAGAACCAGGAAGCTTGTGAAAGTGTACGGGGACATGGAAGGAAGACCAGAAATCTTAGAACCAGGAGGAGTGCTACAAGGAGGGGAGAATGGTCAGTCAGTTTGGTCCAGGACAGCTGAGAGGTTAATTGGGTGAGGGTGAAAGTGCCCACTGGTTGCAACTTCCACATGCAGGTCATAGTTGAGGTTGAGTGATGGGCCTGAAGCCAGCCTGTGGAGAGCCGAAGCATGAAAGGGATGTGAGAACAGACAACAGGGAAATGCTGTGGACTGGAGGGATCCAGGTAGTGATGGAGAGGTGTGTGCGGGGCCAGGGGCATGGTCTGTAATAGATGGAAGAATGTAGGATATGTAGAGTGAGCTAGGAAGGGGCCAGATGAGAGGTAAAAGCAAAGAATGGAACCATGGAGAGCAAAATGTTCTTGAAGAGGCAGATGAGATGAGATAAGTCTTAGAGGGTCCTTCCCCACCCCAGAGGGAAGTGAGAGCAGGTGTTAGTGGAAGCAGGATGGTTCTGATGATATGGCAAGGAGACCCCTCACTTTTCTTAGCTGAGGATGAGGTGGATCAGGGCTGGAGGGAGGGCCAGGCATGGAGAGGGGAATGAACCATGCTTGAAATTATCTCTGGGAAAGGGAGACAGCAAGCCGACCAGAGTGGAGATGGGAGGGGATGACATAAAGGCAAAGCTAGTTTTCAGCTCCTTTTTTGACTGGGAGTAGACACTGCCTGGTGGGAACTGAGGAGACAAGGGACCCTCTATCTTGGGCTCTCAGGGTCAGGTGTATGAGAGACAGAACAGAAAGCTTTGGAGAGGACAGAGGTCTGTCTCCAAGGGTTAGCTAGTCTCTGTGAAAGCTGGAGGGAAGGGAGCTTCTGCGTTCAGAGCAGAAGCAGGGGTGTAGAGTGGTTCAGTTTTTCCAAGAGAGCTGTGCATAAGGATGACAGCCAGGAGCAATGCAGGGGTGGGAGGTGGGGGGAGGGAAGGAAGGCTCCCTGGGTTTAAATACCAGGAAACTCCTCCCCGTCTTCCCTCCCCACCAAGTCCAAGAAGGTGGAGCTCCCGGCCCCACATCTGGCCCCTATTGGCATGAGACCATCAGGGCTCTAGCCCAGTAAGCTCACAGCTTCCTCCAGGAAAAGCTGACGAGGATGGGGTGTGGAGGCGGCACTGCCCATGGCCCCGGACGAACTGAAGTAGGGCCAATCCCCACTTTGCCAAGCCTCACCTCTCCAGAAATCAGAGGCCTGGCTACTCCATAGGTGATGTGAGGGCACGGGCAGCTCTGCTGCTTTTGGGAGGGCCTTGCCATCTGCTCTGAGCCTTCTGGTCTGACAAGGGGATTTTAGAATGCCAGCATGTATGGCTGGTCCACTCCACGTCTTCCCTGCGCCTGCTGGTGGGAATAAGGCTCAGCATATTTTGATTTCCATTAGATCAGACACTATGATCCAAAGAGAGCCCTGGAGTTTTGTCCTGGGTCTGTTTCTGCTACTGATGTGAGGAGAAAATTTGGGCAAGTCCTCTTTTTTGGGTTTCAGTTTCCATATCTATGTACTGGTGTTGTGACAGATATCCTCTCTAAAGCCAGTTGTCATTTGTTTTCAGAATAGAAACCCCTCTTACTTGATTTCCACCAAATCCCATCTGAGCTAAGAAACTGGTTGGTATAAGCTGACCCTGAGCCCCCCAAAACTCGGGATTTTAAGGGTGAAGAGATCCAGCATTTCCTTTGCCCAGGGGCTCAGACATCAATCGTATGTTTCCTCTCATGGTCCCCTCCACCCTGGGGTGCTCCTGACTACAGGCACAGGAAATGGCTTCTTAAGGCATCAGTACTACCCCTCCATCCTCCTTTATTTGTTTCTCATTCCCTACCTGAAATGCCAGCAGCAGGCAAGTATTCCTTGAGTTAGACATAGATTTCTACAGATACTGGCCTGGGGATAAAATCTGGGAAGCTATTGGACCTTAGTGTGAAATAATTGGCTTGATCCTTTCCCAAGGAAAAACAGACTTTGGTAGAAGGGAGGGCATAGTGGGAACCTTGGGGGACAGGTAATAGGGGCAGAAAGTAAAGGGCCACCATAGGGGGCTATGCGGGCTCCAGGAACCCTTGGCCCATGACCTACCTAGTCTTTCTATTCCTTTTCCCACCCCTAGGGCACCCATGAGGAGTGAAGATCTGGCTTTGTCACTCCATCTCTCTGTTTTCCTTCCCTGACCCAGTGTCCTGGGGACCCTTCAGGCAATATAGCCTGGTTGGGTCGAATTCTCAGGGTTCTACGACTCAGCTGCTAGCATAGAATTTCTATGCCACAGTTCAGGCACCATGGCAACTGACAGAAATAAACACTGCGCTTCACAGTCTAGGTTCTGTAGTGATGTCATCTCCAGGTCCTGTCTCCTGGGCCCTGTGGCTTGCTGCGCCCTAGACTGTCTCAGCTGCTCAAGCCGGAGTACTGTCTTCCTTCTCAGTCCCAGGACACCTCTGGAGTGGGGAAGATGGACACAGGAGCTTAGGCAGGGGAACCTGAAATAAGCCCCACAACCGCCTAGCTCCTTGCCTGCCACTTAGATGTCTCTGTAGCTGCTATTGTCCCGTCCTTGGTTCCAGCCATGAAACAGCGCAAGGGGTCTGGGAACTGTGTGTTCTATGGGCAGCGCCCAGAGGAGAAGGTGCAGGTGCCCTCGTGGCAAGAGGTGAAGCAGACCCCTGTGGTCATGGCGATGATCAAAGGTGAGAGCAGAACCCCCCTGACCCTGCCCTGAGCTCGGGCCCATTTCTTTCTCTTTCAGACTTTCTTTAAAGTCCACAGAAGATGTGTGCCTCCAAGTTGAACCGTGCAGGCAGTGATTATACTGCTGGGAATTTTCAGGGGGGAGGTAGGTAGGAAAGGAAGGGAGGCTGTGGCATGGAGTGAAGCCAGCTTTAATGAAAGGCTATGGATTTACTGGAGCCTTTAACCCAGTTTTAGCTCCCCTCCTTCCCTTGAATCTTAATCTCAAATGAAAGCAGAAATATTACTTTTTACTACATTGTTAATAACTGATTATTGCTCAGTTTGGGAGGTGGTTTAGTGATGGTTAAATGTTTGAGCTGATTGTCTCAGAATTTTCACATTACCTTGTGTGACTTTGGGCAAATTGATATTCTTAAGCCTCAGTCTTCTCATCTGTAAAATGGGAAATATGATAGTATCTATCTTACAGAGTTGTTGGGAGGCTTAACTGAAACAATTCACATAAAATGCTTAGTGTATTATCTGGCACAGTATAAGTTAGTTGTAACTATTATCTATCCAAGGGAAATTACATTTACCTGGGAACACTGCCTTTCAGGCAAGGAAGCGGCTCGTTGGTGGAATTTGAGGTCGTGGACATCAGTAGGAGCAAAGACCCTGATGTTCTCATGGAGCACTGTACTTGGAGTTTCCTGCCTCTGATCTGGTGGGCCCAGAGTGAGCCTTGCTGTCTGTTCTCACAGGTCCGGGGCCTGCCAAGTACTTGCGGCCATCCTGCACAGGCTACCTAGGCCACGACAGCTCCATGTTCCAGGAGCCAGCCTGCACTCTGCACACTCAGCACTCAGCAAAACGTGAGTGTCCCCCACACCTTGGGTGTAAGGTTATTGTTAGATGTTTGGGGGTGGCAATGAGAGGAAAAGAGCCATTATCTGTAGCCCCAGGCCCTGGGAATGCAGGCCTGCCCTGAACTGGACACCAAGGTTATCTGTTAGGTCCGGATGGATGTCAGCAGTGATGCCCAAGTGACCCAACCCTCTGAAGGCAACTCTGTGGGCACCTTCCAACTGGCCCTCCTGAGGGAGCTTTAGAGGGATGTTGTCACTGTCCAGCTGGCAGAGCAGAGTCGCCTTTCTGTCTGGCTTTTACGGATTCATTTGCCACAGCAGCTGGGCAGGAATACCTGGAGATTGGGGGAAAGTGGTGAGGATGGTGGCCCCCAAGGCTGTCAGGTGGCTTGGAACCTCCTGAAAGGGTAGGAGCACTGGATCACCAAAGAGCTGGAGCTGCTGGCCTTGGGCAGGAGTATGTATCTGGGGGTCTGAGATCTAGGGTGCCTGCCAGACCCCTTCCTTGGCCAGCAGTACCAGCTCTTTTTAGCAGGGTACGCCCATGGCTGAAGCTGGGTCCCCTTTTTATTATTATTTTTATTTATTTTTTTTTTTTTCACAATAGCTGTCCCATTTTTTTAATTGATTTTTTTTACAGAGAGGAAGGGAGAGAGAGAGAGTTAGAAACATAAATGAGAGAGAAACATCAATCAGCTACCCCCACATCCCTCCATTGGTGATGTGCCTGCAACCAAAGTACCTGCCCTTGACTGGATTCAAACCTGGGACCCTTCACTCCGCAGGCCGAGGCTTTATCCACTGAGCCACACCGGTTATGGCAGCTTGTCCCATTTTACATCCCCACTAGCCACATAACAGGGTTCCAATTTCTCTACATCCTCACTGATTGTTATTATGTGTGTATGTATGTGTGTGTTTTAAATCAATCTTTATTGTTCATATTATTACAAAGGTTCCTCATTTCTTCCCCCCTCCACCAGGTTCCCACCCCACTCTTCACCTCCTCCCCACCCCCCGTTGTCCTCATCCATAGGTGCACAGCTTACGTTCATTCTCTTCCCGCATCCACCACTCCCCCTTTCCCCGAGAACTGTCAGTCCACTCCCCTCCCATATCTCCAACTTTACTATTATACAATCAACAGCTTTACTATTATACAATCAACAGTTCATCAGGTTTTTCAATCTCCTTTTTTTGTTGTTGTTGTTATTGTTGTTATTTTAATTAATAAACTTTTACACTTCTAAGAATAAATTTTAAAATCTAATAATTTTAATATATTTTATTGATTTTCTTACAGAGATGAAGGGAGAGAGATAGAGAGCTAGAAACATCGATGAGAGAGAAACATCAACCAGCTGCCTCTTGCACCCCCCCCACTGAGGATGTGCCCGCAACCAAGGTGCATGCCCTTGACCGGAATTAAACCTGGGACCCTTCAGTCCGCAGACCAGCGCTCTACCGCTGAGCCAAACCGGTTTCAGCAATATCTAATAATTTTAAACCTTATTTTTTCTGCCCTGGGAACTGAGAAGCAAACTTGTTTACATGTAAACTTGCCCTTAGGCTATCAAAAGGCGTAGCCATTCCTATGTAAATGAACACATTGTTTAAAGATAGCTGCTGGTTGGAATTGGATTACCTGTTCTGGGTGGGAAGGGCTTGTCCTCCCCTTTCTCCATTAAAATTAAGGTGTTAGCTTTAAAACCTCTTTTTGGCAAGAGACCTTAAACTTTCAGAACTTTAAATTTTTCAGATAGTACATCATTTACTTAGCATTTTCTCAAATCAATAATACCTCTACATGCCCAAGGATACACTTCACACAAAAGACATTTCCAAATAGATCAGCCAACCTCATCCAGACCCCACACAAGGCACTCACAGATCAACACTCCAGCGCTATACTAATTCAACACATCCAGATCTAAGCCTTCATCATTTGATTCAGCAGACCCTCAAGTTTCCCCAAAAGTTTCCAGCCATGTCTGAGAGGCAGCCCTGGGGCGTGGGCAGGCAAGGAGCGAGCTGTTCCGGGCCTGGCTGCTTCGGGCCTGGCCTCTGTTGCTCTGATCCACTCCACAACCAGCTGCTCCGGGTCTGGCCACTGCCGCTCCCGGCCTGGCTGCTGCTGCTCTGGGCCTGGCCGCTCTAGGTCTGGCTGCTGGTGCTCCGGGCCTGGTTGCTCCCAACCTGGCTGCTCCCGGCTTGGTTGCTGCACCTCTGGGCCTGGCTGCTCCCGACCCAGCTGCTCTGAGCCCGGCTGCTCCGGGCCCGGCCGCTCCGGGCCTAGCTGCTCCCGGCCTGATCCCTTTTTATTACTTACAGTATTCCCCATTCTCCTTTCCCCCCTGCACCCAGTCCTCATCCCTCCCCAGGCCTTCACTACATTTTGTCTGTGTCCATGGGCTATGCATATATCCTTCAGCTAATTTCTTCCCTTTCCCCCTTCCTCCTCCTCCCTCAGGTTTCTCAAGTCTGTTCCTTGCATCTATGCCTATGGACCTATTTTGTTCATAAGCTTATGTATTTTGAGCCCCCTTTTAAAACTAACAATAGCCACCGTGCCTATTATTACCCCTTGGCACCAATCACTGACCAGTGGACTAAGCTGCTATGCAGCTGTCCCTCTGGACAAGTTCTTGAGAATGAAAAGCCCCATTTTACAGGTGAGTCAAATTCTCAGGGTTCCCAAAACACCCAAGAGCCTGAGGAATTGAGAAGAAACCCTTCCCTCCTTTCTTGGGGAAGAGGGTCTTCCCTGGGACAGAGTCTAGAACTGACTGAGGCCTGTGTCTGCCTTGCAGGGATAATGGACATATGCAGCCCTGGGCCTTGCTACTTATTGAACCCTAAAATAACTCAGGTTGGGCTGTCCAGCTGCCAGCAGATCTCCATGGAGGAACGCATCCCTAACCTGTGTAAGATGGGATGGGGAGTGGGGTTGGGAGGTTGAAGAATGGAGGTCTGCCCTTAGGACCTGAGTGGGGGCAGAGGATCATGACTCCCCTCCCCAGGTGTGTCTGTGGACGCTGGTATCTCCCTGCAATGTCACATCAAGACACAGATGTCACCATATCTGTGTCACAGTACTTACGCATCGAAGCCAACGTTATGCATATGTGTCAGGGGTGATTGTTATAAGTGGGGCTCATAAAGGGGCAGCAATGTCGCTATGCTAATAAGCTCATAGTGATTTCAGGATGTTTTCTTGGTTTTGCCATAGGGACAATGTCAGAATGCTGACAGCCCAAGGTGTCATACGGATGACACTTATGTCTTTTTCTTTTTATTAATCCTCACTCGGGAATATTTTTTTCCCTCTCTTGATTTTTAGAGAGATTCGAAGGGAGAAGAAGAGACACGGAAACATCGATATGAGAGAGACACATTGTTGGTTGCCTCCCACATGCACCCTGACTAGGGCTGGGGATGAAGCCTGTAATCGCATACGTGCCCTGGACCAGAATCGAACCTGAGACCCTTCAATCAATGCTCTAACCGCTAAGTAACCGACGAGGGCATGGTTTTTATATTATGACAATAGTGTCACATTCTAATGTCAGGATAGCTTAAGTCCCTCACCTGCCCACAGCTCCGTGTAGGGTTGGATGTCTCCCTGTCCAAAGCGAAGGTGGTTCTAGTGAAGTCACATCAGGCTAATCAATGCCTCAGGTCGCCACCTTTGCCCACTTTCAGGCCTGAGCTCCACCCCAGCCTCCTGCCACTACTGCGTGGAGAAGACCCGCCCTCCTGGAGAACGCAGGGCCCCGCAGTACACTTTCGGCTCCCGGTGCCCATACAGAGTAATGGACCCCAACCCGGCACCCAACCACTACCAACTGCCACTCTTGCTGGGGCCCAACCTCCCCATCAACCGAGCTGCTCCTTGCTATAGCTTGGCCTCCGCAGACAACATCCGGTTCTCCAAGAAGAATGAGGCAGGAGGTCCTGGGCCGGCCGTGCACGCCCGCCCTGAACCATCTGTCTACCAGAACCGCAGCCCCGTCTACAGCATGGCCAAGCGTTTTGCCTACCCAATGGGCCACACACCTCAGCCTGGACCGGGTTCCCATGATGTCCAGCTGGTCACAGTGCACAAGCCCCGCACACCTTCTTTCACGATGGGGGTCAAACACTCACCCCACCTCTGCCCGCTGGTCATTGACATTCACAACTGAGGGCCCTCCTGGAGTACTCACTCACTCCTCCCCACAGAAGATATTTTCTATACAAAAATGAGCAACTTACCAAGGTTTTGAGTAGCAGAACTGATGCCTGCTGTGTTTAGCACACAGAAAGTATTAGATAAATATTTTTATTTTTTATTTCTTCATTTTGTAAATGTTCATGACTGCTTCCTTTGGGCCCTGCCCTGGATGAGGAGTGGGGATACTGGGAGGCATTACAGGTCAATGTCTGGGAGAAGTTCTGTTCTGGCTCATCAGGGGAGGCCACATGTTCTCAAGAAGCCGTGGGTAGAGGTTCCAGAGGGCTGAGTTCTAGTTCTAACTCTGCCACTAATGTGCTGTGTGATCTTGTGCAGCTTCCACCCATCTCTGGGCCTTGTGCAGTAAGGATTGGTGGCAGGGGGTGGGGGGAGACCTGGAGGATGTTCACGTTTCCTCTAGGTCCAGAGCTGTGTGACTCTGAATCCTGACAGTGCTCAGCACCTTAGAGGGGAGAAGGGAAAATAGTTGCGGATAGAGGATAGAGGGGTCACTCTGGTTGGGAAAGGGGGAGAGGTGAGTTTTCCTGGGGGAGGGATTCAGGACAAGCAGAGACAGTGTACAGAAGGAAGGGTATTCCTGGTGGTGGTAAAGATAAGAGCAAAGGCCAGTAGATGGGACAAAGGGTGCAGGGCAGGGAGCTGGGGAGGCTCAGAGGGCACAAGCCCGGACTGCAGGAGGCTGGCTGGTAATGGGACCAGATGATGGCCAGCTTGCAGTGGACTCAGGCTTTGTCCGCAGTAGGTAGGCAAGATGTAGTATTTTCAGAATTCTTTGTGCAGAGAGAGAAGGTGAGCAGGATGGGCAGAGCCTGAAGGCTGCAGTCAGCCTCGGGAGGAGGCAAGGGGCTGAGCAAGCTGCAAGAGGACAGGCTGCATGTCACATGCTGTCTCTGGAAAATCACTTTATGACCCCAGCCTAAAAGCTGAGCCTTGCAGTGCTGGTTAGAGGAGGGGCTGCACACCAGCCAGGAAGGGGTGGTGTTGCTTCGCTCCCGAGTCCAGTCCTTGCCCACTGCCCCCACTCGTTCTGACTTGGCTTTTGGCAGCCAGGTGCCAGCTCCGGGAAGGCTGGGGTCTCTGGGGCTGGTATTTGACCTTCCTTAATTCTTAATGTCTGGATCTCCCATTCGGACTTTCCCTGCTCCCTGGACACAGGAGGTGTGAGGGGGACTTCTATCCCTGCTCTGCACTTGGGGCCAATGGCAGAAGTGAGGGTGGGTTATGGAGGGAGAGGGACTGGGGAAGAGGAGAGGAGGCAAATGTCTTCCAGACCCCATGGCTCAAGGAGAGGCAATTCTTCTGCATCCATTATCCCAAGAGCTGAGAGGCAGGAGAAAGGACCACTCAATATTCTGATGTGTCTGCTGGCTCATCTTTATGAATCTGAGAAATAGTTAGGCTTTAATAGAAAATAAAAATTGGCCCTAGCTTCTTTGGTTCAGTGGATAGAGTGTTGGCCTACAGACTGAAGTGTCCCGGATCGATTTAGTCAAGAGCACATGCTCAGGTTGCAGGCTCGATCCCCAGTGGGGTATGCAGGAGGCAGCCGGTCAATGATTCTCTCTCATCATTAATGTTTTTATCTTCTTTTCTCTTTGAAATAAATATAAATTTAAAAAATAAAATTCAATTGAACAACTTTGGCCAGAAAGGAGCAGAGAATAGCTTTGGAGTATTAAAAGTACACACACACACACACACACACACACCCCTGAATATTATTAAAAGGGGATTGTTGAAAAACCCATAGGTCATAACTGACTTTGGGCCTGAAGTCCCACCTCCCAAGGGGTATTGTATCTGTCCTGTCTCCCACACTCCTCAACAAGCCTGGGCTGTGCAGGCTGGATAGGGAGTGAGTGAGCTTGGGGACCCATCGGTCCTGCAGCAAGTTAGAAAGATGTCATTTTGCCAACAACACCATTGATTACGAATGCTATAAAAATTAGTGATATTTGGGCTGAAGTGTTGGATAGATTCCCCCAGGCTTGCCTGGAGCTGGGGCCCAGTGCAGTCAGGAGCTTCTGCCTCCCTTCCGCTAGGGAGAGCCAGTGGCAACCTCAGCAGTCAGTCTTCTCTGTGTGCGCGTTTCCAGACCCCTGCCCGCTGCCGTTTCCCTGAGTTTCCGAGTCTCCTATCTGACAGTCCAGACTCCTCCCGTATGAGACTGGATCTGTGGGGTTTCACCTATAACTGGGGTTCAGTGCAGTCGGGGCTTCCTTCCCTCTCCCTCCAGAGAACACCAGCCAGGCACTCAGCCGCCCTTCCTCTCTGCACACATGTCTCCGTACCTCAGTCCTTTGCAGCTCCTCTGATTTTCTGTGAGCTCTTTTCTTTCCTTCTAGTAGTAGAATTTCCACTCAGCCAGCTTTCCTGTGGTTCTGGATGATATCAGTTCTGTATTTTAGTTGTAGGATTTAAATTGAAATTGTTGTGTGAGGCAGCAGTTTAGGTGTTTACCTAGGCCTCCATCTTAGTTTCGCCCAGAGGTCCATCTTGGTCAACAGAGCTGTTGTTGGAGGCCATTAGAAGAGGAGGCCTGTGTGGCCGGTGGTGGTGTGGCTGGGAGCACCACAGTCTCACTGTCTTTCGTTGCTCTTCTCTTCCAGAGTGCATTTTTCCCTAGGAGAGTGGAAACATGTTACCCTTCAGGGGAGAAAGGGAGACAATCAGAAGTAAAAGACTATCATCATTGTAAAAACAGCATGTAGTAGAGTGGGCTCAGAAGGGGAGAGGAACTGAGAGAGAGCCAGGGACGAAAAAAGGGATCTGAGACATGGGACAAATGTGGGTAGGGCCTGGGTGGGTGTGGGAACCAGACAGGGCTGCTAGGGGAAAAAGACAAGTGAAAGTTGGTCTGGGATTGTAGAAAGGGTTTGAGGAGGGAGACCCGTATTCTGAGTTCCAGGCACGGCCCACGAGGGAGAGGGCTTCCAGGCTTTTGGATGCCAAAGTGAGTAAGATAGACAAGTGTCTGTTCTTGTAGCCTGTAAAATTTACTAGAAAAAGTGGTGGCTTTGTGTGTTCAGCACTTGTCATGTGCCAGGCACTTACATAGCTGAGAGTCAGAGGGGGTGGGTGATGTATCTGACTCCAATCTTCTTTTCACATTGTCTCCTCTAGGTGCTAGGGCTGGAGACTTGGTTCTGCCATTTCTAGTGTGTGACCTTGAACAAATCCCCCTTCTTTCTGTCTCATTTTCCCTATCTGAAAAGTGAGGAGAATGCTGGCTGCACTGCAAGCCTGTGGGAAGGATCAAATGTCTGGATGTGGGTGTCCACCAGCTCTGGCTCCTTGGAGAGCACACTGAGGGGTGCGGGGAATCAAGAACAGGCAATGTTGGGGCCGGACTAGCCAGTGGCAGCCCCAGTCTCTAGCTGGAAGGAGGGGGACTCTAACTCAACTCCTTGATACCTCCCAGTGGCAATATTTGGGTACTGCAGGAGATGGGTTTGGACAGGATTGCAAAAGGGTCACAGCTGGAAGACTCCTCTAAGGGAATGTTGTCTGGTCTCTCTGGCCTGTTTTGCAGATACCCAGAGAGGGGAAGGACTTACCCTCAAGTCACTCAGGGTGGAAGCTTGAATTGGGATTGGCTTTCAGGGTAAGGTGCTTTCCTTCAGCTATGTGGTCCTCAGGAAGATCCAAAGGAGCTCAGAGCAAGAGAAGTACAACTCGGCATGAAGCCACCTCCTCCAGAAAGTCTTCCAGGGTTTCCTCCAGTAGGAAGTGACTTTACTCTGGCCCTGCAGTCCTACACATACTCTCTCCTTGTTCTTCCTGCTCCACCTGCTCTGAATTGCCCCCCTCCCCTAAGCAAATCAGGCAATGGTGCCCTTTGAGATATTAGGTATGATGAAGGACCATCTTTACTATGCAGGGAATACCAGCCAGGGATCTAGCTCTGTTCCTAGACTTTACTGCATTATATCACTTGAGCCTCATAACAACCACAGGAAGTTAGTTTAGTTTTTGAGCTCCAATTTTTGGGTAAGGAAATAGGCAAAGAGGTTTTAACTCAGATACAAAGTGGTGGAGCAGGGATTCAAACCCAGGTCCATCCATTCTCTGGAGAGGAGCCTGTATTGGAGATGAATATTATTCCCATGGATATGACAATTAGCTATGACTAGACCCTGAAATGACTGGTCCAGAGGTCTTATGAAGTCAGATCTCAGCCACTTCAATGCGCTGCTGTGTGACTTTGAGCAAGGCTTCTCTCTGGACTTCTGGTTCTTCATCTGTGAAATAACTATGTGTGTGTTTTCTGGATTACCTCAGAGATCCATTTTTGTCCTGGAATTTGGCATGTCCAGTCTTGGCTTACCCTGAAATAGATCATTCCGAAAGACAACAGGAAGGGGTGAGCAAGTGGCAGATTTGGGAGTGCTGAGCTCTGGCCAGGCAGCTGGGCCTCTCAGGTACTCTCCTCCTTGGGGATGTGGGGAGCTAGGGGGGTCATGGGGAGGTGTAGGCTGTGAGGATAGGAGAAGGGTCCAGATTGGGACAGGTATGGGGTGATGAGCTGGCCCTTGGGCCTGGAAGCCATTTCCAGTGCTTCCTGTTACAGAGAATTTTTTTTTCTTGGAAGGAAACAACTTCAGCAATCAGTGGCAATGGGGGCTGAAAGGTGACAGTCTCTGCCAGCAAGGCTTGAAGCAGACTCATATCTCTCACTTGGGGCTGTGTTGTAAATTCCTGTGATTCAATCTCAGCTTGTTGGAGGACAGAGACATTCAGGCTGTGGACAGGCTCCTCTCCCTTGTGCAGAACAGGTGGAGTAGCCTGTTCGTGGTACCTGAGACTTAGACAGCCCTCTCCATAGGCTGCACAGGAGATCAGGTGCTGAGGCCCCTAGGATACCTTCATCCAACCTGAGCCATTTCTGCCCAGATTTGGCTACCTCAGCCTTCAGTCCCAGACATTCCTATGTCCCTGCCAGATTTGGCC